CAAAGCTATTCGTTTGACAGCAGCAAGTTTGGGATTGTGCATGATTTACTGCATACAAAGTGTCGCTCAAAACATATTTCGCCAGATAATCTATTTAAAAGCTTGAACTTTGGAAATAGGACCAAACGTTCGAAGCGCAGGGAGTTTCATTATACTACGTAAACAATAGTTTTTCGAACTACTGTACAAACGAATACCAAAACCAACTATTAAGAACCGTTTTATATGCATGGAAAAATAGACGTTGCACCTCCTTCATTTTAGGTTTCATGAAATGCACAAACATTATGACGTTGTTATTGTATTTATTATCGGAATTTAAAAGTATTTAGTGACTTCACACACTTACGCTATTCTGGAATGTTGTTCGGTCACTTTAAGCTCGATGTGCTTGTCTTCTCCTCGGTTGACTGTCATCGTTTTCAACTCTGATTCGTCTGGGCGACAGATGTCTTTATAATGCAATTCTGACGGTATTATTCCTCCATAGCCAATCTAAAATATTTGATGAATCAGGCTAAAAAATGAATATGATTATGATATCGCAAACGTAGGCCCTGATTCTTAAACTGTTTCATACTTTAAAAGTAAATAAGCATTTGGCACTAATCAAAGGTTGACTATAATTGAACATCTCAGCAGTCAGTTTCCGTAACTGCTTGTTCTTTTGAGTCGTGGTTGCAACAGCGTCAGGCAATATCTCTAGCGTTCCCGATTATATGCAAGTCCCTGAACTTTTGCAGAACAGAAAACATGAGTCTAGAGCACATTTTGCCTGAGGTTATCGGTCAGTCGGTTCAGCAAATAGTAGTTGTTTCGCTTTCCTTCCTAGAAGCACTCACAACACCTGCCAAAGCATCGCAATTGTGACTTTTCAATATGGAAAAGCATCGGCTGAACACAGAGGCTTTCGCGAATTCTCTTCTCTGGACTAATCCTAGAAGAATGAACACAGAGGCTGAACACAGAGACTTTCACGAATCTCTTCTCTGTGACTAATCCTAATAGAAATCTCCTTTCAGTCATTTGTATCCAGGATCAGAGTTTTTCAGTCATGGTCAACGACTCAGTGACCGTAGATGAGTATCGGGATGAAGGTCGATTTGAACACCGTTAGTCTTGAGACTTAGCTCTTCTTTGTCACAACGGTTCGGTCTGGTTCATGCAGAACTCCACTGGTGATTCCAATTCACCGGTCGATTTCTTCCTCCTACTTCCAACCACCAATAAACACGGCCCCGATTTGCGTGAACTTTTCCACCCCTTACAGTGCTCTTTTATTTATCCGTATAGTGCAGCTAGTGGGTGACGAGAAGGCTCAATTTTATAAGTACGTTCACACGCATGCCACATGAATTTCTTCAGCAAAAACATCTTCGGCGCTGTTATGGTGACTACTGACAAAACTGCTGCTGCTTATTCAGCAACAGACTTAATTGTTTGAAGAAATTTAACTTTTCTAGCAATGAGTCCGAATCGAGAAGCTCTACTCTGGCTCCGCAAATGATGAAATATCATGCTTAGAATATCATTTTAAAGGTTTCTCATGTAGAGCGAAAGGTCAAGAAAGCGTAAAGTGCACATTTCTTGCTAGGTCGCTTGCTGTAATGCGAAGTTATGTGTCTTCAAGTCTATCGACAGACCTACTCCACGTATGGTCGTGAATGTTGGACTGGTGACGTAACAATAAAAACTGTAAAACGAG